ACATGTATTGGCTATAGAATGTTAAATTACTTATGAAACAATGTACTGGCTACGCAATTTAAATTACTTGAATGATGTATTGGATACACAATTTTAGATACTTATGAATAAGGGTATTGGCTACGAAATGTTGAATTACTTATGAATAAGGTATTGTACATACTCATGAGATAAAGGTATTGACTAAACAATGTTAAATTACTTACGAATAAGTGTATTGTGCTACCCAATGTTAAATAATTATAAAAAAGGGTATTGGCTACACAATTTGTTAAATTACTTACGAATATGATGTATTGGCTACACAATTTGTGGCTTCACAATGTTAAATTTAACTATGAATATATGAATAGGGGTATTGGCTACACAATGTTTAATACTTATAAATAAGTGTATCGGCTACACAATGCTAGAATACTTGTGAAATAAGTGTATTGGCTAATGAACGTTAAATTACTTAAGAATAAGTGTATTGGCTACACAGTGTTAAATTACTCCAAATAAGTGTAACGGGCTACAAAATTTTTGAAAAAATTTACTGCTACAAATTTTTAAAAAAATGACGGGGCTAACGATTTTAAATTGTAGACTAAAACTTTGATCCCACAGTTTTACACATATATAAAAAATAGACTACACAAAAATTTAAACATGCAGGCTACACAAAATTTAAAACAATTGCCCCTTTCTACAAAGCAAAAAAAAAATTTCTGCTACAATGTACAGGCGATATAAGTCACAAAAAAATGTCTCGACTGAATTTTTTTAATTATTTTCCGAATAACAGTTTAAGTTTTGGGAAAAATACATGGGGATTTAAATTGCAGATGAAAATAAATTTTTTATTTCTTAAATTTTCCGTTACATGACAAAAATATTGGTTATTTAAATTTAAAATCAGTAATACTTTACGTAGCCAATGCATTTTGGTAAATTTTGATTTCATTTTTTCTATAGTTTGCTTTTATATTAAACTATATTTTATTTTTATTTCTCTCTCTATCAAAGTGCACTGTCTTTTTCGTGTGATTATAATTACTTGATTGTGTTAAGTCGGCTTTAAAGTCACAACGAAAAAGGTAAAGGTCGTTGGGCAACTCTCCAGCCTTACTGGTACAGCAATATCTCGGGTGCCTAAAGGTATATTAATTCAGACACGAACTGGCACCTGAGTAGAACCACCGATGTTTCATAACCTAGTTGTATAATTCCCTCACATGAAAAATCACAAGATCCCTGACAGGATTCGAACTCACAGCGATGAAGTACTAGTAATTGTAAGTCGCAATCCTCTAACCACTATGCTACAGAAAGAGCATAATTTTAATCTATAAGTAATACAAATTGTGATGTCCATTTATTCACTTTATAATAGAGTATAATTATTCATTACTTAAAATAACTTTCTTCGGATACTGCGGTTCAGATATTCAAAATTCACGTCAACAGGAATCAAATGCTGAGTAGTAGCTGTAAAGTTGCCATAGTTCAGCTATTACTACGTATCGTCAATTCAGTCCGCCCTCTTCGCTCAATCGAGTATACAGGTGTCCTGGTTGAAGGCTAAATTGAGTCTTTCGGGCATTTGTCTCTCAAATCATGTTGGATCACTGATGTTTAACAGTGTAACTTTAAATGTATATTATATATGTAACCAGTATTTCTGTTAAATATTCAGAATGGCAGGAAAACTTACACTTTCACAGAAAAAGCAGTTACTGACATACATACAAGAATACAAAAAGGATTTCCGTTTGTTATATAGCTTTTCGAAGGACGGGGCAAATTCTTCAACTTTCCATCAACTCTGCAATGACAGAGGACCAACTGTCACCATCGTATATGACGTTGCAGGTACAATTTATGGCGGATACACAGAGAAAAGCTGGTCGTCATCAGGACAGTACGTAAAGGATGATCGTGCTTTTCTGTTTCGACTTCAACAAAACGGAAAGACAGATCCTTCGAAGTTTGCTGTTAAGGTCCCCGATAGAGCAATATATTGCAATGTAGGCTATGGCCCGGTATTTGGTGGCGGTTATGATCTGTGCACGTTTAGTGGAACAGTTACTGAAACAAATGGCACTTACCCAACAAATGCGAGTTATAAGTTTGGTTATTCGTACGACATGGCAGGAATTTCGGTTGAAGAGCTTACAAACAACATCGTCACATTCAGTGAATTGGAGGTCTACAGCGTAACGGGTATGTGTTTATTAGAATAAATTTGACTCCCGATAGAAGTAAGATCTATCATATCAAAATAACAGTTATGTAATTAGTCAAACATAAATATATGAAATACCAGGAACCTCCGTGTTCGACTGGTTAAGGCCGCTGACCATCTAGAATTATTTGCGCCTTGTGTCGCTTTTGGTTCGATCCAAGCCAGGTATTTTTGACTTATAACTTCTAGTCGACAGATATCCGACAAGCACACGAAACGCCGATGTTTTTCTCAGGTGCCCGCACATGCCATAATTATTGCACGCAATGGCACTTGTATTTCTCCAACATTAAAACACGAGTGTTTTCATGTAACATTAATCGTGTCAGTGTAACTTTTGGCACTACGCTTTTGTATGTACACTTAAGAAATTGTACATTGTTTGTAAAAGCATACAATAAAATGTTATTAAACTAAAAGTAGTTTCCAGCATTGCTAAAACTGAGTTTTGTAGTTGTATGAAATCTTCCAATGATCACACTCCATTTTGATTTTATTGTAGATTCGGTGCTTGTGCCAGTTTGGAGGGATATAGGCGGCTGGGAACATCAGGTTAATATGTAAAAATAATTATCATGGTTAAATTGTAGAAAACGGCGATAACAATTGAGAAAAAAACCTTATATGTTTTATTCCAATGTTAAATGCCACTTAAGTTTCATCTTAAAGTTGTTGTTGAATTATGACTGTCTACGTTCTGTATTAAAATGGTTGTTTCAGGTATTTTATTTCATGTGAAGGGAATACACATGCATTACTACTTTGAAAAGTTTTCAAATAAGTCCTTTTTCGAATTGTGCTTACTTTTCTTATCACATAGAAACGTGTACACATGTTTTTAACTGTTTACAGATTAAAATAAACTAAGTGTTTACGCGTTAAAATACACGTTTACTCAATATACACAAGGACTTATTTTTTTTTTAAATTCACAAAAATAAAATAACATGTTTAAGAGTTCCTGAAAAAGTCATTAATCTGTTAAAGGACCTGGACCAGCTAAAACATGACATCGAAAATTGGTCCCCTCCTCAAGGGGTCGGTCTAAAATCTGCAAACATTCTTCTCCTCGGACCTTTTGGTGCCGGAAAGTCAAGTTTCTTCAACACGATTGCTTCTTGCTTCCGTGGACATACCACTGAACAGGCTATGTGTGGCAGTGCAGAGTTAAGCATTACAACAAAGGTAAATTATATCTTTAATATTTGATTTTAACACTAAATAAACGTGTAACAAATCAGCCACCATATTACAAAATTCAGTGAGTAATGACGCCAAGAACACTAGAGCATTCAAAGTTACCAACAATTTTGTCAAAATGTATGGTTAGCGTTTTGTGAAATTTCTTAATTATACAGTTATATTTTAGTTGTCAAATCACTCACTAGAAGAAACATTATTATAATGCTGTCATTGTGTTGTTCATTACAGTATAATATGTATCGGGTTCGAGGGTCTGCTATTACGCAACCAATGAAATTCAAACTGTGTGACACACGTGGACTTGAAGAAAATCAAGGTATTGACGCCCAAGAGCTTGGTTACTTGATAGACGGCAATGTACCAAACGGATACGAGGTGTGATTTATATTATATCATGATGAACATTTAATATTTAAAGCATATAAATGATACATGGCTTACTATTTAGAGGTTTCCATTGCGGTGTTTGACCAAGGTATCGGTCGTATCATGAATTGAACATTGGCCTGATGACTTGCGCTTTCTCAGCTGGCTTGATTAATGACGCAATATTTGAAAATATGTTAACATTAGATTCGCATGGTTGTAGTCAGAGGCCAGTACTGATTATAAGTGGTCGGCCCTTGGGTGAAAACTTATAATCGGTCATGTAATAGTTATATTTATTGAAAGTATAGGGAAAATGTGTATCTATAGAGCCGGGGGTTACTTACATGTTTACGACATGCGTACAGATCACTAGTACATGTTTCAATGATACACGTGTCGAGGCTTGCATGATAGTTGCGAATATTTAATCACATTTGTCGTTTATACTTTATATTAAGATGGGAATGTTTGAATAAATTATTTTAAAAAAGCCTCCCATGATATCTAAATATAGAACAAAGAGTTCTTCAAAATGGCTGTACCAAACTAACTATGGAAACGACCTAAACTTGTTAGACTTTAGCATATCTTTTTGCTTTGTTTTTTTTACTAATTTTTAATTGAACGAATGCACGTCATGTTATCTAAGACCGTTCGCATGGGCTTACGATGTATAATACCATATTTTTGTACGATTTTTCTTATTTCTTAATCTGTTATATTTATATTGAAATGAGCAGATACATGTATTCTTTAATTTCACGATGTCTCTACAGTTTAACCCCTCCGTTCAAATTTCGCCGGAAACACACGGATTTGTTACGACCCCTACACCAAGCAATAAGGTTCACTGCGTCTGCTTCGTCGTCGACGGGACTTCAGCTGCAGATTTGTCTGCGAAAATGGTAGTGAAAATAAAAACTCTACAAGCAAAAGTCCGTCGGAAAGGTAATATTATTTACAATTAATGCAAAATGTGTTGAAGATGTTTACCAGAAATCTAGAACAGTATATATACATCTCCAACGTTTTACTATTATCAAATAACTTTTATAAACAAAACACAGTTATGTTCTTAATTAGAAGATGCCCAAAATTGTCAAGCATCAATCGTCAAACATCGGCTCTTCCCGTATATTTCGTAAGCATAATAGCCGAAGCGGTCGCGGGCTTTGGCTTGTCCGGCTATAGACTACACGTGTATATTTAAAAGGAAATTAAATTTAAAAAAAATGTAAATTCTATACCTATCAGTAATTTTTTCAGTATCATATCATGCTGGGCACCGTAACGCCACGATAAACCGCGAGTATTCCAATAATGGACCAATCGCAATTTAATTCAATTTCAGGTTTATCGCAGGTAGTTATCGTTACAAAGATAGACAAGGTATGTTTCCACGTTAAAGAAGATGCATCAACAGTATTCCGGAGTGCTTCGGTCAAAGAACTTATTGACAGTGTTGCAACGATTTTCGGCATTTCCAGAAACCATGTTCTCCCTGTGAAAAACTACGAAAAAGAAATCAATACAAAAGATACAATAAGCATTCTAGCACTGCGAGCGATGCAGCAGATTCTACGTGCAACTGATGACTATATGTTAAATCTTCTAGATTCATCTGATGATAAAAACAATCACTCAGATGATTAACGTGCAGAATATCTAACCTGGCAAAAAAGCAAAAAGGAAATAATATAATGAATAAGAACTTACACCCAAGTTCTAGGATAAGATCGACATATGTTCCAGAAAATTAAAAGTTAACGCATTCAAGATATACTCTTACACTCTTACTATTATATTATTCTTGCAGGAATGCTGTTTTTCTATTTGCATGACTACATAGAAATTATTATCGAATTTGATTGATAAGGGTCGATGTCTCCATTGAGATTTCTATTTTCTATATTTCTTTATCTCACGTTTCACTATCTCTATATCTCCATTCATCTTCTATGTCTTACTATCTCTATATCTAAATCCATATTTCTATGCCTTAATTACTATCTCTATATCTCCATCCATATTTCTATGCCTTACTTACTATTTCTATATCACCATCCATATTTATATGCCTTACTTACTATCTCTTTATTTCCATCCATATTTCTATGCCTTACTATCTCTTCATTTCCATCCATATTTCAATGCCCTCTTTATCTCCATCCATATTTATATGCCTTACTATCTTTTATCCCTATCCATATCTTTATGTATCCATCCATATGTACATGCCTTACTATCTTTTCTATCTCTATCCATATTTTCTGCATTACTATCACTATATCTCTATTCATATTTATATGCCTTACTTACTATCTCTTTTTCAATGCCTTGCTGTCTCAAATCTCCATCCATATTTCTATGCCTAATAATATTATATTTATATCCCATGTTGTAATTTTCAATCAAATTCATCACAAGTTGCTATGTTGTCAGCGAAAATTATACAAATAAAACTTACTTGTTATTCATTTGAATCTACGACTGATCAACGTAACGGGACAAACCCGTCACATGATAACAGTCACGGACCACGTGGAAATATCAACACATTGAATGATGCGGATTTAACCGTTACAGCTAGTGGCATACCGTGCACTGAAGATGAAAATCTGTTAGCTATAGCAGAAGATCTTATAAAAGCCTTAGGGGAGAATGTATCGAGGAATATATTAGTCACAGGGGCCTGCGAGATTGCCCACCAGATTTCCAAATCGCCCTGGATTACTAAAAATCGGCTTCAGAACTTAGATGAAAAAATCTTAGTACTAAGAAATAAAATGACACTGAAGACAAAGCTTTATACAGAGAGGTGTATTTGCAAAGTTGCAAAGTCTCATATTGAGAGAGTCGTAGAAATGAACGCGAGAGCCAGTGCTTCGTCAGTTACCGCAAGGAAGGCAGTACCGCGTTTACGCAAACGGTCGCATCATTCAACGTGCACGACATCAGGATGATATGGAAATACCGCACAATTCAGACTAGGGAGAACCCCGACCTTACAGGTCAATAAAGTTTGCTCACTTGAATATTTGTGGTTGACACGTGAAAACTGTGAACTTAGAGAAAAAATAATGACCTCACTTAACTCGGATATTTGTTTTGTTATCGGAAACCCTCATTTAGGTGAAAAGTTGTAATACAATATAAACGGAATACATGGTTTTGGATTTAACGGCCAATTTAATAGAAACCCACACCCCAAAACCCGTCAGGGGGAAGTCGGTCTTTAGTGAAAAACTGGATTACTAGAGAATAAATGTGATTTAACTTGGTGGATAAATCTTACGATGGAATATTAGGGTAAATTTATACCTAAAGCAAACCAAAAATGATTTTTATCAGTATTTTATTTACCTGCCCCAGAGAACCAACACGTGGTCGCACGCTCCAGGGATTTTTCCCTCGCCATTTTGTTAGCCCAAACTATGTTAATAGTGGAAAGTTGACACATAATTATGAGTAGCGTTCTGATTTTAATTTCACGAATTGGGGGTCATTATCGGTTATTAAGTGAGTTGGCTGTAATTCGCAAAGAACTGTGCTAATAAAACAATCAATCAACATGGAGAGCATTTATTGAATTTTTTAAACGATCCGCGATTCTGTTTTTAAATGGAAGATTTTATTTTAACGGACAATATAATTTAACATCTGTTTCCCGGGAAACGAGCTGTAGTGGATTATTGTGTGTAACCGCAAGACAATTTCGCCTATTCGAAGGCTTTAAAGTTATTACGGTACAGTCTATTGTTGACCGCGCACGGACTTTCACGGATTCTGGGCGAAAGTAAGGGGCTACATAACCATAGAACAACTTATCAGGGAATTTAACACCTTTGAGTAGTGAAAATTTGTAAGGCCATAAGTTGTGAACAAATGAACGGATTTGTCCCGCGCATAATTGCAAACGAATTTCCCGTGGACTTCATGTCAAGGCGGATTTATCCCGGGTCTGGCTTCTGTTGGATTATTATACAAGTATTGAGAAGTAACAGGGGAAACACAAAATCAAGGTAGAATTTTTATGGAAACTGGTGCTCCTTGTATCAGAACTAAATGAAGAAATCGGTTTGCCAAAATTCAGTGCTCAAACATGTAAGAAAAAGCTAAAAAAAAAAAAAAGCCATTTTGGAAATGATGTTTAACGGAACTATGGATGAATTTGAGCGCCAAAGAAAAACTTTATTTCAAGTGTAATGGTGAACTCGCAGACGGGCAGAATTGGACTAGAAGAGAGTATATTGTGCAAAAATGACTTTTTGACAAAGGAAATTACGGATGGGGAGCGTCAATACCGGGGGCGGCGATCGCCCTTGAATTTGAGGACAGTCACCAAATATCCAAAAGATTTTTGGGAATAAAAAAATAAACTTGGGCCAGAAAAAGTTAAAGACATTTTATTGAATATATAGCAGGCAACGGCCGAGTTGCCAAACGATGAAGTTCGTATTCGAGCGAATGGAGGTGGATTTTGAGAATTTATATCCATAAACGCGGTGATAATACTGACTTTGCGAAGATTTTTCGACCGTAAAAATTTTGCATTAAAAAATTATTGGAATTAACAGACAGTTCGTTATAACCTCTCGGAAAATGAACAGTAAAACAGGTAACCCACAACAATCGATGAAAAATAACAAATAATCGGTTTTGAAGGAAAGTCAAAAGTCAACCTGTGGGAAATTACGTACCTAAATTCTATTACGAAGTTAAAATTTTCCTGACATTATAGTGGTGTACAGAATTTTCCCAACTGATTAATGGGATACCAGTTTAGAGCGGGATTATTATGGCGGAAATCGATTATATTTTGCCCGAATCTTAAAGGCCAACAGCGGCCCGTTACAAATGAAACAGGGGTATAAAGTTTTCTATATTCCTGCGTTAAAGCAAACGTACATCTCTTTCAATTAACAAAAAAAAATCAAGTATTTTAGACGAAAGATTTCTACCGAAGAGAGAAGGGGATTTAGCTTGGCCGGTCTGTGAGGATCATTCTTAAAATTTAGATAGTTTTTAAAAAGGGCCCATAACCTTTTTTAACTGCTTTCATAGACTTACGAAAAATGTTTTGGATTTTGTCGCCCGTAAAAGGGCAAATTTTAAAACTTTTGCAAAAATGGTGTTGAGGGAAAATTTAGAAATTCATAAAAAGCATATAAAATTTTCCCGTGTCAGGGGTCGTATTAAGGGACGTTTAAAGGAGGGGGTTTCCGTTGAAAACGGGGAAAAACCAGGGAGAAAACCTCTCCCCGGGCGCCTTCTCATTTTTCGTAAATTTGCCCGGGTACCAAAATCAAAAACCCTTTGGGACCCTTGGGGTAAAAATAAATAAACCTTGGGTATAAATGTTGCATAGGGCCGGATTTTCCCTTTATCGGCAAAGTCGGAAGAGATCTACAAGATAAGCTTAAAACCAAAAATGCATGACTGGTGCAAACAGGCGGGTTCTCGAACACAGAGAAAAGTTCTAAAGTCGTACACTTTGAAAGGGCACACAACGGACGAATATTGAATTTAAAAGGGAATTGAATGTGCTGGAAATTGTAGACAAATATAAGTTCTCCGGTGTTATCATGCATGAAAACGCGACTATAGGGTTTTCATTGTGAAATACTTCCCAAAAGTGCCGGGGAGAGTTTCTTTCGGATCTATTATAAAATAATTCATAATCTGAAACAAACTGGATTTAAAACTTTACGAAAACTATACAATTCCTGTGTGATAAAATATGGATTACGTGCTTCCGCTTTTGGGGATAAACACTACCAAGATGGAATCAGGGGAAAATAATTACCACGAGAGGGCGAGGGTATTTTTGGGGTACACGATTTACACCTATATTAAGGGGTTACTCGGTGAAAATTTTTTGGTACCCCCGATTTTCCGAGATGGTGAAGACAGGGGATTGGAATAGGAAGGGAAAAATTTATGAGAAAGACTAAACCCAAACGTGCAATTTAATTTAAAATTCAGCTCGCCAAATAACAGTAACTGGTTAAAAATGATATTGGAAAACCCTTAAAGTTAGATTACCCAACGGGGGTTTTCAAAAGGGGAAAAACCCCCGTCTCAATGGGGCCTTTTGCCAAAAAACATGAAACCGTTTTATTCAAAACCCCTTTTTTCTTGAGATTAGAAAGAGTAATTAAAATTGAGGAAAAAATTTTTGAACATTTAAAACTGAAATTACTTTTTGAGGAAAAATGTTAAGTTTTAAAATTTAAAAAAAAATGAACGGGTTTTTTTGCTCAATTTAGAAAAACCGGGAAAAATTCATTGGGGTTTTAAACCCGGGGGTATGTTTTTGGGGGGCCCGAACAAAGCTGGTAATTGTGCAAAGGGACTATTGAAAAACGAGACTTTTCTTGTTTAATGTGCTTTTATAAATAACCAAGATTGTTTTAATTTTGGGAAAAATTTTAAAATGTATGAAATTTTTTTCGCAAATTTAAACAAAAACAAACTTGTTTTCTTGGGAAACCACCCCAGAAAAAGGGGGAAAAATTTTTTGTTTTAAAGGGTTTTTATTAAAAAGTATATGTTTATAACTAGTTTGGGTGTTTTTTATCAGTAAAAACCTTAGGGTTTTCACCTTTTTTTGTCTTTTGTAAAGTTGTACATATATATGAAACCCCTGTAACAGTTTTCCCATTATTTCCATAAAATTTTTCTTGGAAAAAATATTTGGGATTAATTTTATTTAATTTTAAAAAACGGATATATTGTAATTTGGGGAAACAGCTATGGACAAAATTTTACTAAATTTTTCGGTTTTCGGGGAAAACTTGATAATAAAGGTTTTTTAAAATGAACTCCCAAAAAATTAAATTTTAATTTAAAAAAATTTCAAAAGTTTGAAGTATCATTTGTTTTAAATTTTTGTTTTAAAAATTAATTTTGCCCAAAAAAGCTGTTATATGTTTATGTTACCAGACTTTTTATTTTAATTGTCCCATTTATATGACCCTTTTTAAAAGAGCGGTCCTTCATGGGAAAAAACGACCCCGGGAAATTTGAAATTTTTTCGCGCATTCGCAATTCGTAGGGCCCGAAAATTTCCCTTTGCACTACAAGAAAAAA